AATTGAAATATGCAATGAGCAATTTTGTTTCAGCCGAAAAATTGCAAACTTTTATCCATTGCTATTACAACAAGATTCATGTGCATCCTTCAGATTGTTGAATTAACAATGTCTAAAATCTAGTTTTTTTTACACACTATGACTTATGCTTGATAACCAGTTAAGCCAGGAGCTAGTCGACAATCAGCTTCTTCCTTTTTCAAGCCAAAAAGTAACCGTCAAATGCACCTCATTTATTTGTTTGATTATCTTTGAAGAAGGCTAATAGCTGAAGATGTTGTTGAGTGGACCGGTTCTCAACAGCTATAACTACTTGTACAGCTTGAACATCGAGAGACAATTAAACTTGGAAGTACAACTGATAATTTTTTTGGATCGGACAGCCATTGCTCTTATGGTTAAGGAAAAAGAGTTGAATTGAAGCCTATGAAGAAAGAAAGAAAGCATATTGTAGACGAGAAAGTATGAGTTTTGTATGGCTCCACCAACCGCGGGTCAATGAGTTTCAGCGCCAGCACCATAAAATCGTCTCCATCTGATCGTAGTTTATTGTGAATATCTTCAAGAGCTCGTGGATCCGATCTAGGACCAATACCAGCCAGCAGAACTTTTCCGTTATTAATCCACAATGCATCACCAGTGCCTACAAAGTAGACTTCACAGCCTCAATCATGCAATCCTTATTTGGACAAAAGAAATTCAAGGATATAAAGCAGATCTAATCCCTACTTCCCGCAACAGTCCCTATTGACATTGGTTCAAGACTAGAAACGACCAAAAAAGTGCAATTGCACAACAAAATGAAGTAGGATAATTTGCTCAATACATTCCTATAACCATTTTCTATGCTTTCTTTAGCAAAAGGAGCCCGCCATTCACATACATTTCCTAGTCAAAAAGCGACGTGACCAGGACAAAATATACCGTTAACCAAGGCTGACCTTCATGGCGAAGTTCTGGATTAAAGAATGTGGTGAAACCATTTTCTTTAAACCATTTATCATTGAGTTTCCATTCGGGTTTACGCTGTTCATGGGCGAAATTTGCTAGGTAGACTTTCTTTTCTCTTACAATTCCTGCATTCGCAGTGAACACGAGGTCCGGTAAGTTTTTTGCACTCTGGAATAATGTAGGTTGGGATAAGGTAAGCAAATGGAGTAGGAGAATTCTGAAAAGGTAATACTGAACCAGACAAACTTCTTAGGAAGATGTGAAAATAG